GTGCTCTATCTAAATACAGTTTTTGTAGCAAATCTCACTGCTGTCTAACTTCATTGTAAGAAGGTGTATTTACTTTCACAATTATCCAAATATTATTTAAATTATTTTTTCAGTACATTTGTATAGGTTTAGTACTTAAACACTTTAAAGGACTAATTTACCAAACTGCACCCTTGTGACAATAAAAAAAAAGCAACTTCTTTGAAAGGTGTCCAAACCATTAACATGAAATAATAAGGAATACAAAATTTCCACTTATTCCTTGATTTTCGTCACTAGTTAGCATCATAAACCCTTCTCCACAAACTACTTTCATGTTCAGTGTGATCAGGATTACAATGGGGAACCCAGTGTTAGTGGTGCATACTTGGAATCTCAGCCTCTAGAGAGACTTAGGTAGAAAGATGAAAGTTCAAGGCCAGCCTGGGCAACTTAGTGAGAATCTGCTTCCAAATCTGCAAAGAAAAACTGGGATGTAGCTTAGTCAAAGAGGGCTTGCCTAGTGTGTATGAGGCCCTTGGTTCAAGCTCTACTTTAGCAGAAATCATCTAAATTAGACATCTAGAGGTAGATATGTACTCTGTGAAAACATAATCAAATGTACTGTATGTGTATTTACATTCACCTACAAAATGATGTGTTGTGTCAAGAATTTATAAACATAAATTAAATCCAATTCTAAAAAAGGATTTTTCAGTTTTGAGAACACACAGATTTGTTCCTATCATCATCTTCACAAAAGGCAATTCTTTTAAAAGGCCGATACACAGAAAAGGAGTGAAAAGAGAAACAGCAACAATATTATAAATTGAAAAGCAATCGAAAAAAATCAAACCTCAAACTGTAAAGAGGAAGACCAAGAAGGAAACGACATAACCACATCCAGACCTTCTGGAAGTGAGGGTGAAGAGCACTCATTATTCAGCAGGAGTATTAATGAATGACTATTTAAGGAACAGTAAAGGCAAAACTAAAGTTTTGCTCTTTGTAAAGAAAAAGAGAGCATTCTCGTGTGTTAGAGGACTTAGCGATTGATTCAGTTTTAGGGGGCATTCTTTTTAACTCCACTGCTGCATATAAGACGCTGAGACTCTGACCAACTTACTTCTCTTGTCTCCTAGAGTGCTGACATCCAGCCTTTTCCCTCCCATAGGGAAACAGCTTCTACTGTGAGGAATATGAAGAGCTCGGCTATGCAGCCTTACCAGACCATCCTACAATCAAGTTCACAGAGGACAAGCCCAAATATAGGCTCAGAGTTCCCGGTCAGCCTCAAGTTCCTCCCTGTTTCCAAGGAGCAGCCACCAGAGATTACTAAATTCTTGAAGAAAGTCTCTGCTAAAAGATGGAGGCAAAACCAGAGGGCAAAAAAAGTGCTTTAAAGAAAACAGAAATTTTTCAGTTAGTATACACATACCAAAAAAAAATCAAAATAATATAATGGACTACTGTAAAAATAAAATTGTAAGAAAATTTAAAAGAAGTGGTATTGAAAACAATTTTAAATACAACAGCAACATTCTTTTAAGAACTTAATTTGAAAGTTAGAAGGGAAGATTTATGATGTACTTTTGGAAAGTTTTTTAACTAAGATAGTAAGAAAAAAAGAAGAAAAAACAAATTAGTAGGCCAATTAAATCCAGTAGTCAAAAAATAACAGTTCCAAAATAAATGAACAAAAGAAGCTGAGGGTGAGAAATATTCACCAAAACAAATAAATATGCCAGCAAATAAGAACATGAGTTTCCACACTGCAAGGATTTATCAAGTGCCTTCCAAGATGAATGAAAACAAAGACATATTTTGAATTTTTAGAACATGAGGGACAGCAAATAGCTTCCTTAATCTTCCAAGAAAGGAGGAGATGACATGTACTTTGAATATAGCTTTATATCTCACAACAGGAACATAAGAAATTCATACAAACATAATTTCAAATTTAGAATTCCATATCTCTTCAATCTTGCAGATATGAAACTCATTCCACATGGGAAAAAGAATTCATCATAGTTAGTTGTAAGCCTTATTGCAGGGTATGAAATGACTGAAGTAACAATGCAGGTTGGGTTTTTAGGAATAACATTCAGAGCTTTGCTCCAAAGCCCACCACCAAAAAAAAACACACCAGAAAACAAAAACCACATCATCCAGTGAATCTCCCTCTAACCAGAAGTCACCACACTTAGGAAAACTTCGGGACCAAAAGATTCCTTCAGGGTGCTACTTGCCAACAAAGCTTTGTTTTCTCCTCATGTGCACATTTGTATGTGTATCTCATTGGCACAAACTATAGCACTTCCTTCTTGTTCATGTTTCACTATTTCTTGGTTTGTTCAAATATATCTTCCACGAACTTGCAGGAAAAAACAAAATATATATATATATATATTTGTATTAAATTCTTTTATTGGTACATTGTAGGTATACAACACAATTACATTTCTCA